CAGTTGTCATTGGCGGTCTTGGTCCTCAATAGCGCTCCACTCGCGCCATACTCCGAGCTCACGCGAAGATCTCCAAAGCAGCACTATGCGCCAAAATTCACGCTGAGCAGCAAGACATGGACCTGCAAGAGGAGCGGCACAAGAAGAAAATGTCAGTACCCAAATTTGCGTTTCACACTCAACGGCGCTACAACAACAACAACAACCAGCATTAACCAAAACCCGTACCTGCATTCTGTCATCTCTACAAGACTTCAGGGCACCCTTGCACACACTGCCCGAATCGACAGCAGTCAACGCTGCCGCAACGCCAACTTCATCCTTCAAGTAGTCAAATGGCGTCTAAACAAGCGCACCCCATGAGTCAACTACAGCCGTCAACGACATCGCCAACACAATCTGCACAAGGAGCAAGAAACATTGTTAGTTGCATGCCAAGACTGACCGGCTCCTGCATCACCGAGTCACCACTGCACTACTCACCGGAAGAGCAACTCGACAAGAGCACCCCTCGTCGCGAGTCACTTCAACCGAACCCGACGTATGCAGCCATCGCTCAAAGCGAGCCGTCCGGGAAAGACACTTGGTTCTTGGACAGTTGCTGCGGACAGCATATGTGCTCTTCAGGTCGTTTCGTTCAACGCGAACACGAACTTGAACGCGGAGTCGTCATCACCGTCGCCAACAACCAGAACCTGCGCACACGACGACAAGGCGTAGTGCAACTTCAGTCACGAGAGACAAACGTCATACTACAAATGTCAAAGGTGTTAATTGCGGAGGGACTCGGCTACAACTTACTGAGTGTCAGTCAACTGATGGCGAAAGGTATGCACCTCGAAGCAGACAGCACAACACAAGAGTTCAAGCTATACCACGGGAGAGGAGGCCTTTACATTGACAAAGCCGTGCTGAAGAACAACGTGTTCATTCTCGACTTCGTTCCAGATCTAGGCACCGCCGACAGCGACGAGATCGTCACCTTCACCTCCTGGACGCACCCACCGGATCTTGATCGTGACTTCAGCCCCGAAGGATTCTAGTATTCGCACACCATTCTTGAGGCAGAACGAACAAGAGCATTAGCAACAGTTCAATCGGCAGCAGCAGAAACAACATCGGCAGTAGCAGAGACAACATCGGCAGCAGCAGAGACAACATCGGCAGCAGCAGAGACAACATCGACAGCAGTAGAGACAACATCGGCGGCAGCAGAGATAGCATCGGCACCAATTGCGGGTCCTTCAACTGCACCGGCCCCAATCGACGACGACACTCCACTGACTCCTGCGCAGCAACTGAACCCAACACCACGAGAGGTACATCGAAGCGCAAACCTCACCGCAAGCTTCTACTCCAACTCCAACTTGTACTGTCGCTCACCCGGACATCGAGCTGGCGAAGATATCTGGCACGCACAAATGGGAAATCCAAGCAACACGGTGTTAAACAACACAATTAGAGCAGGCGTGCTCGACAAAGACTCATTGCTCCTAACCGACGGAAGCGGACTTCGATGAGCTCGCGGAATGTGCTTTACCTGCCCCAAAGCTGACTTACCACATCGGTCGTTCGCTTCTTACCACAACCCCAGCGCACCAGCTTACGCACCACTCGAGAAAGTGTACAATGACATCCTGTACAACCGCGTACCTGGACAAGGAGCATACAGCTACACCATCACGTTCATCGATGCCGCCACACGCTACGTTTGGCACCTCAATCTTCCGAGCAAAGACATAGCTTTCGAGGCTTTTGTCGCCTGGCTCCCAGCTGCAGAACGAGAATCAGGCGTGAAACTAAAGAGCTTCCAGTCAGACGGAGGAGGAGAATACACCTCACAAAGATTCAAGCAGTAATTGGCAGAAAGAGGGATCAAGCAGCTCATCTCCCTTCCCTACACTCACCAGCAGCAAGGCGTAGCAGAAAGGATGAACAGGACTCTCCGCAACACCATGCGCAAGCTGCTACGTGGCATGCGGCTAACCAGCCACCAATGGCCCGAAGCAATGGACCACGCTGTCATGCTGCACAAGTTGCTCTCGTCATTATCGCTCCCGAACAACGCATCACCGCACCTGCTGTGGACAAGAAAACAGGGCAGCACAAAAATGTTACGGCCCCGACCCTCCCGGCCCACCTCGTCCCTGCCACTCCGGTTGCGGCCACCCTACCTACTCGCCACGAGTAAGCGCCCTGCCGTGCCGCGCCCCCCCTTTAGCCGATTTGCACTGCCGCCGCTGCTGCTAGCTTGCTACTGCTGCTCTCATGGCTACTCCCAATGTGCTTACCTTTGATGGTGAGGGTGGAGCTGTAGACTTTGAATTATGGGTCGATGATCTGCAACTTTTCCTGCAGTCCAATCGCAAAGATGGTCTCTCTCTGTTCGATCTCACGTCTGGCGTGTGTGCTGCCCTTGCTGCCGATGCTGACAGTACTGTTCGCTCACAGTGGACCACACGCGATGCTGCTGCCCGTCTTGCTGAACGCAGCCACCTGCCGTCCTCTGAGCGCGCGCACTTTAGTCAGTTCAAGAGTGCTAAGACCTTGTACGACGCTGTAGTTGCACGTTACTCTTACCCTGCCACTGCTCCCCTTAGTCGCCTCATGCTGTCGTACCTATTCCCTGACCTCGCCGCCTTTCCCACAGTCGCTGACCTCATTACGCACCTCTGCACTAGTGACACCCGCTACCGCGCTGCGCTTCCTGCTGAGTTCTGAGCCAAGAGCCCCCCCCCATGTACATCACCCTCTACTACCTAGTCACCCGGCTCCCTGACTCCCTTCGCTCGGTCAGGAACCACTTCCTCTTTGTTTGCCCCACCACACTCACCGTTGATCTCCTCGAGGAGCGCCTCCTTGCAGTTGAGAAGAGCATAGTCGCTGTAGGAGCCTCTCGTGGTGACCCTCGTGCCCCCTTCTTTGAGGGGTGCTTTCCCGTCCCCCTTTTGCCCTCTGTTGCCTCTGGTACTACTGTCGACCTTCTTGGCACCGAGTCGGTCGGTGCTACGTCAGCCCCTAGCGGGAGACGCCGCAACGACAAGGGCAAGGGGGGCAAGCTCGCTGGAGGAGCTGGTGGGGGCGGTGGTGGTGGCGGTGGAGGTGGCGGAGGGGGTGGGGGTGGCGGTGGGAGTGGTGGCGGGGATGGGGGCTCCGTTGGCGGCGGTGGAGGCGGAGGCGGCGGCGGCGGTGGCGGTGGGAGCGGAGGAGGCGGCGGTGGAGGCGGTGGCGGTGGCGGCAGTGGGGCTGGTCGAGGAGGCTCTCTGCAGCGGGGAGGCTTCGGTGGTGGTCAGCGCCAGCAGAAACAGCGCACTCGTGAGACCCCGCCCCCCCAGCAGCTTCAAGAGTGGTACGCTGCGCGTCAGCGGGGTGGGGGTGCTGGTCCCTGTGCCTACGTGTTGCGTACCGGCGACCGCACTGGTGAGCAGTGCGGCAGCCCGCACACGACCCAGCGCTGCTTCGGCCGCCTGATAGACGCCTGGCGTCTCCAGTTCCCTGACGCCACTGAGATCCCTCGCTGTGGCGAGCTGCTTAGGTCGGGGGTTGCTATCTTTGATCTAGATTATGATGCTATTCTTGCTGCCATGTATGTTGTGTCTACTAGTGATGAGGGGGACTGTTACCTGTGTGTTCCGCCTGACCCGGGCATTGAGGCTACTGCTCTAGGTGCTAGTGAGGCTGCTGCTCTAGGTGCTAGTGAGTCTGCTGCTCCAGATGCTGGTGAGTCTGCTCCTCCAGGTGCTGGTGAGTCTGCTCTCTCAGGTACCACGTCGGCTCAGGTTTCGCACACCTTCACCCTTGACTCGGGTGCTTCCCGCTCCTTCTTTCGAGACTGCACCACACTCACGCCGCTTAGTCGGCCGGTTGCAGTCTCCCTGGCAGACCCCTCTGGGGGTCCTGTCCTTGCCCACTTTTCCACTGTCGTGCCGTGTCCGGCGGCCCCCTTTGGCACCCTGTCAGGTCTTTACCTCCCCTCATTCTCTAAGAACTTGGTGAGTGGTGCTGACCTACAGGATGGGGGGGTTGACCAGTTCACTCATGCAAGTCAGCGAGTGACCCACTGCACGTTTGCTCGGACAGGCCGACACTTGGCCACGTTTACTCGTCAGCCGGGGTCGAGCCTGTACACACTGACGACTGAGTCTCCTCCGGTTGCTGCGTCTGGTCAGTTAGCTGCGTCGGGTCAGGTGTTTGCTGCAGCGTCCAGGTCTGGTCATGAGTCTGCCCCCTGCTCGTGTCGTCTCCTGTCCCACCGGACTCTCCTCTGGCACCACCGCCTTGGTCACCCCTCCCTGCCTCGTCTTCGAGGCATGGCCTCTCGTGTCCTTGTCTCTGGTCTCCCCAGGTCCCTCCCTCCCCTTCCCCTGGGGCCTACCCCTACCTGCGTTCCCTGCGTCAAGGGGCGGCAGCGCGCCGCTCCTCACTCCTCCGAGATTCCTCTGACATAGGCTCCGCTGCAGACACTTCACCTGGACGTGTGGGGCCTCGCCCGCGTTCGTTGACAAAATCACGAGCGCTACTTCCTGGTGGTAGTTGACGACTACTCGCATTACACCACAGTCTTCCCCTTGCGCAGCAAGGGTGAATTCACTGGGGTGTTGATCGATTGGATCCGCGCTGCTCGTCTCCAACTCAGGGACAGTTTCGACTCGAACTTTCCTGCTCTGCGTCTGCACTCAGGGGGAGCTGGTACTGTCCCTGCTGGTTGTGGAGGTGCTACGCGGCCACGGGAGTACTTCGTTACGCTCATTGAGAAGGTTCTTCGTCTTCCACCCTCTACTAGTCCTGCTCCTTCCTTAGAGTGTCCACTGCCTGTCCACTCCGACTCACAGTTACAGCCCGCCTCTCCACTGCCCGCTCCTTCTCCCTACACTGGTCCTACTGGAGGTCTTGCTGAGCGTCGTGAGCGTGCGTCTCGTCCTATGTCACCTGTTTGTGCTGCTCGTACTAGTTGTCGTATCCCGCCTCAGCGTCCACCTGCAGTCCTGGGCACGCACCAGATGGCACTGCGTTCTTCCACTGCTCCGTTGCGTGTCCCTTTGCCGTCTCCTCCAGAGTGCTCTCTTCCTACTCTTGCTGGCGCGGAGTCTAACTCCCTTCGCGCTGCCTGTCCTACTGTCATGCGTCTCCTGGAAACTATTGTCACTGACCCTTCCTTTGAGTCCATTGCTGCGTCTGCCTTAGTTGCTGAGCTCCTCGACTTTGCTGCTCACTGTCGTCTAGACTACGCCGCTAGTCTTCTTGCCGAGTCTGAGTCTGTCTGTCCTCCGTCCGTCAGGGGTGAGTGTGCTCTTAACACGGACGTCCTTGAGGACAGGCAGGAGGAGTTCAAGTATTTTGTTGTTGCTTTACCTCATCTCGTGTCCATGCTGATTGGTTTTGAGGGAGACCCGGATGTACGAGACATCTCGACTCCGCGCTCTTACGCAGAGGCGATAGAGGGTCCCTACTCCTCTCAGTGCCAGTCAGCCATGGACGCAGAGATGGCTTATTGGAATTCCATAGGCACCTACGTCAACGAGGTTCCTCCACCTACGGCAAACATCGCGAGTGGCATGTGGATTTTCAGGGTGAAGCGGCCGCCGGGTTCTCCGCCTGTCTTCAAGGCGCGTTACGTGGCTCGAGGCTTCAGCCAGCCGCACGGAGTTGACTACTTTCAGACCTTCTCTCCCACCCCGAAGATGACCACTCTTCGGGTGCTACTGCACATAGCCGCTCAGCGCGACTACGAGCTTCACTCTCTTGACTTCAGCACTGCTTTCTTGCAGGGTAGCCTGCACGAGGAGATCTGGCTGCGCCGTCCACCTGGCTTCACTGGGACTTTTCCTCCTGGCACCCAGTGGAGCCTCTGGCGGCCAGTCTACGGTCTCCGCTAGGCACCGCGTGAGTGGCACGACACACTGAGGACTATGCTTGCGGCTCTTGGGTTTGCTCCCTCTACTACCGACTCGTCGCTGTTTCTGCGCACCGACCCTTCTTTGCCGCCGTTCTACATCCTCGTGTACGTCGACGACTTGGTCTTTGCCACAGCTGCTACTGTTGGACTCGTCCACGTGAAGTCCGAGCTGCAGAAGAGACACACGTGCACAGACCTGGGTGAACTGCGCAGCTACCTTGGCTTGCAGATCACCCGGGACAGAGCATGCCGCACCATTACTCTCACTTTGTCACACATGGTGCAGCAGGTCCTTCAGCGCTTCGGCTTCACGTACTCCTCGCCACAGGCCACTCCTCTGCCTACTCGCCACTCGCTCTCAGCTCTGCCTTCGGATGAGTCCGTAGAGTCGAGTGGCCCGTACCCAGAGCTTGTTGGCTGCCTCATGTACCTGATGACCTGCACACGACCTGACCTTGCATACCCTCTTAGAATCTTGGCACGCTATGTTGCTCCTGGGAGACACCGACCAGAGCACATGGCTGCTGCAAAGAGGGTGTTGTGCTACTTGTGCAGTACGTCGGGCATGGGGCTTGTGCTTGGAGGGCGGAGTCCAGTGGTCCTCACAGGTTACGCAGACGCTTCTTGGGCTGACGACCAGGCTACGCAGCGGTCGTCACAGGGTTACACCTTCAGCCTTGGTTTCGGCTCGGTTTCGTGGCGGTCTATCTGCTCGTCTTCTGTTCTCGGCTCCAGTTGTGAGGCTGAGATCTACGCGGGGGCCATGGCTGCACAGGAGTTACGCTGGCTCACCTACGTGCTGACTGACCTAGGAGAGTCGCCTCGCTCTCCTCCAGTTCTGTACGTAGACAATTAGGTCATGCTGGCCTTGTGTCAAGAGCACAGACTGGAGCACAGAACGAAGCACATTGCTCTTCACTACTTCCTTGCTCGTGAGCTGCAGCAGCGGGGCCAGCTGCGCCTTGCTTATGTGGCCTCTCAGGCCAACACTGCTGATATCTTTACCAAGGCACTTCAGCCTTTCGATCATCAGCGCTTTTGTACTATGCTAGGTCGTGTGCCTATTCGGCCTCACTTGCTCACTTGTTGACCTTACTTGTACTGTGTTCTATATATACCTGCTCTTGCTTGTTTACCTTTATATATATCATCCTGCATGTGAACTGGCCTTGTGGCCTTGAACCGGTGCTAGGAATGTGTGGTGACGTTGTGATCCACCCTGAGCTTGTTTTGCTTGACTGGTCGTGTGACCCTTTGTTCTCCCCCACTTTGCCTATGGGGGCGTGTCAGACATATATGATATAGCCTATGTAGGCTATAGTGGGGTAGATAATAGGGAGTACAGTTATTCTAGGGTTTCATACTTGTACCTTTCACATTCCTACTCAATTCATTCCTCATTCTTTCACACGAGTGAGTCTTGTTGGAAACAAGTAATTTAAGCGCCTCTGTCGTGTCGAAGCACTAAGTCATAAATAAAGTGAAACACAGCGAAGCATCAACGAGTCAACCCTCGAAGGTTGAACAATTGCTGGAGGTTACGCGAAAGTCAAAGGTAAGCGACCTTTGACCTGACAAGTACAGCGCGACAGCAAGGACAAACAACTGACTCGTTATTGAGCAGTTGCCCGAGTCGTCACTGTATCGAACCACAACAGCAACAGCAAAACAGTTATTAGGTATAACCCTTCATATTCCCTTGTACTCTTATAAAAGCTTGTATCACCTTGTTTTTTATCAATCTACTTTGCCCTTACATACCAGCGCAAGGTGGTTCACGGACTTGTCATTAATCGCTTCCGCTATTACATTGTTCCTACTTAGAGTTTAGTCCTGCAAAGACCCTAAGGGCTTTTCTTAGCCCAACTTGGTATGAGAGCTATCAGGGCAAAATCAACTGCAATCAAGACACCTACAAAATCACAAGGCATGGCAATGCAGAAGGAGAGAAGCTCCTCTAACGGTTCTCTCGGTACTACCCCTACTCCACCTCCTGCCTCTGGCCTACAAACAAAGGAGGGCACAACAACAAGACTGGCAGCTGGGTCTACTAAAACTCCTGCAAATCAAGCCGCGGGCTTCGACCCAGACATGATGAAGAAATTCTTCTCCTTCATGTCCTTCTACGAACAACACCAGCAAGGGGCACCTGCGCAGTCAAACAACAGCAACAACAACAACAACGGGACACCGATGAGCCTCAACTGTTCATCCTACGCGCGAGGAAACCATCAACAACCTACCTTCGCCCCGTACGAACCTTAGCGCGGTCTGTCAGCTTCATGCCACGCTAGCAGCCTTCACGTGAGCAAGAAAAGACATTGAATGCACTTCAAGTCCAGTCGCAGTTTGCGCACATCTTAAAACTGCAGACATCAAGACCGTTCGACGAAAATCACTTCTTTACCTGGTCGTTCGAATTCGAGCTGATGATGGAAGGCGCGCAGATTCTTGGCTTTTTCGACGGGTCCCTGCCATATCCAACGCATGGGACGCAATACAACAAGCAGCAGTATACATGTCGGTCCATGATGGCGTACACAATCCTACTGCGCAACGTCACCCCAAACCAGCAGCAGAATATTCGGTCTTACCGAGGATACGGCAACTCCGCCGAGCTCGCGTACAACCACATGAAGAACCTGTATCAGGCAACAGTCAGCGTCAATCAGAGTCGGTTAATGGCACAACTGACAACAGTGGAAATGAAACCGGGCGAAAAGGGGATGGCGTATATCAGTCGCTGTCGCGAATTGCGCGACAAACTCCTTCGATGCGGAGGGACGATATCAGAAGATGCCTTTGTCACAGTTGTCATTGGCGGTCTTGGTCCTCAATAGCGCTCCACTCGCGCCATACTCCGAGCTCACGCGAAGATCTCCAAAGCAGCACTATGCGCCAAAATTCACGCTGAGCAGCAAGACATGGACCTGCAAGAGGAGCGGCACAAGAAGAAAATGTCAGTACCCAAATTTGCGTTTCACACTCAACGGCGCTACAACAACAACAACAACCAGCATTAACCAAAACCCGTACCTGCATTCTGTCATCTCTACAAGACTTCAGGGCACCCTTGCACACACTGCCCGAATCGACAGCAGTCAACGCTGCCGCAACGCCAACTTCATCCTTCAAGTAGTCAAATGGCGTCTAAACAAGCGCACCCCATGAGTCAACTACAGCCGTCAACGACATCGCCAACACAATCTGCACAAGGAGCAAGAAACATTGTTAGTTGCATGCCAAGACTGACCGGCTCCTGCATCACCGAGTCACCACTGCACTACTCACCGGAAGAGCAACTCGACAAGAGCACCCCTCGTCGCGAGTCACTTCAACCGAACCCGACGTATGCAGCCATCGCTCAAAGCGAGCCGTCCGGGAAAGACACTTGGTTCTTGGACAGTTGCTGCGGACAGCATATGTGCTCTTCAGGTCGTTTCGTTCAACGCGAACACGAACTTGAACGCGGAGTCGTCATCACCGTCGCCAACAACCAGAACCTGCGCACACGACGACAAGGCGTAGTGCAACTTCAGTCACGAGAGACAAACGTCATACTACAAATGTCAAAGGTGTTAATTGCGGAGGGACTCGGCTACAACTTACTGAGTGTCAGTCAACTGATGGCGAAAGGTATGCACCTCGAAGCAGACAGCACAACACAAGAGTTCAAGCTATACCACGGGAGAGGAGGCCTTTACATTGACAAAGCCGTGCTGAAGAACAACGTGTTCATTCTCGACTTCGTTCCAGATCTAGGCACCGCCGACAGCGACGAGATCGTCACCTTCACCTCCTGGACGCACCCACCGGATCTTGATCGTGACTTCAGCCCCGAAGGATTCTAGTATTCGCACACCATTCTTGAGGCAGAACGAACAAGAGCATTAGCAACAGTTCAATCGGCAGCAGCAGAAACAACATCGGCAGTAGCAGAGACAACATCGGCAGCAGCAGAGACAACATCGGCAGCAGCAGAGACAACATCGACAGCAGTAGAGACAACATCGGCGGCAGCAGAGATAGCATCGGCACCAATTGCGGGTCCTTCAACTGCACCGGCCCCAATCGACGACGACACTCCACTGACTCCTGCGCAGCAACTGAACCCAACACCACGAGAGGTACATCGAAGCGCAAACCTCACCGCAAGCTTCTACTCCAACTCCAACTTGTACTGTCGCTCACCCGGACATCGAGCTGGCGAAGATATCTGGCACGCACAAATGGGAAATCCAAGCAACACGGTGTTAAACAACACAATTAGAGCAGGCGTGCTCGACAAAGACTCATTGCTCCTAACCGACGGAAGCGGACTTCGATGAGCTCGCGGAATGTGCTTTACCTGCCCCAAAGCTGACTTACCACATCGGTCGTTCGCTTCTTACCACAACCCCAGCGCACCAGCTTACGCACCACTCGAGAAAGTGTACAATGACATCCTGTACAACCGCGTACCTGGACAAGGAGCATACAGCTACACCATCACGTTCATCGATGCCGCCACACGCTACGTTTGGCACCTCAATCTTCCGAGCAAAGACATAGCTTTCGAGGCTTTCGTCGCCTGGCTCCCAGCTGCAGAACGAGAATCAGGCGTGAAACTAAAGAGCTTCCAGTCAGACGGAGGAGGAGAATACACCTCACAAAGATTCAAGCAGTAATTGGCAGAAAGAGGGATCAAGCAGCTCATCTCCCTTCCCTACACTCACCAGCAGCAAGGCGTAGCAGAAAGGATGAACAGGACTCTCCGCAACACCATGCGCAAGCTGCTACGTGGCATGCGGCTAACCAGCCACCAATGGCCCGAAGCAATGGACCACGCTGTCATGCTGCACAAGTTGCTCTCGTCATTATCGCTCCCGAACAACGCATCACCGCACCTGCTGTGGACAAGAAAACAGGGCAGCACAAAAATGTTACGGCCCCGACCCTCCCGGCCCACCTCGTCCCTGCCACTCCGGTTGCGGCCACCCTACCTACTCGCCACGAGTAAGCGCCCTGCCGTGCCGCGCCCCCCCTTTAGCCGATTTGCACTGCCGCCGCTGCTGCTAGCTTGCTACTGCTGCTCTCATGGCTACTCCCAATGTGCTTACCTTTGATGGTGAGGGTGGAGCTGTAGACTTTGAATTATGGGTCGATGATCTGCAACTTTTCCTGCAGTCCAATCGCAAAGATGGTCTCTCTCTGTTCGATCTCACGTCTGGCGTGTGTGCTGCCCTTGCTGCCGATGCTGACAGTACTGTTCGCTCACAGTGGACCACACGCGATGCTGCTGCCCGTCTTGCTGAACGCAGCCACCTGCCGTCCTCTGAGCGCGCGCACTTTAGTCAGTTCAAGAGTGCTAAGACCTTGTACGACGCTGTAGTTGCACGTTACTCTTACCCTGCCACTGCTCCCCTTAGTCGCCTCATGCTGTCGTACCTATTCCCTGACCTCGCCGCCTTTCCCACAGTCGCTGACCTCATTACGCACCTCTGCACTAGTGACACCCGCTACCGCGCTGCGCTTCCTGCTGAGTTCTGAGCCAAGAGCCCCCCCCCATGTACATCACCCTCTACTACCTAGTCACCCGGCTCCCTGACTCCCTTCGCTCGGTCAGGAACCACTTCCTCTTTGTTTGCCCCACCACACTCACCGTTGATCTCCTCGAGGAGCGCCTCCTTGCAGTTGAGAAGAGCATAGTCGCTGTAGGAGCCTCTCGTGGTGACCCTCGTGCCCCCTTCTTTGAGGGGTGCTTTCCCGTCCCCCTTTTGCCCTCTGTTGCCTCTGGTACTACTGTCGACCTTCTTGGCACCGAGTCGGTCGGTGCTACGTCAGCCCCTAGCGGGAGACGCCGCAACGACAAGGGCA